GGGTACTTTTTTCTCACCGTTTACGAATGAGTTTTTTTTTACGTTTAATCAACTTACCAATACTTGTTCGTTTACCCTATTCAAAAATCATCGGTTCTAAAGTCCGACATTGCGCGTGATTTGTTTTCATCGACCCCTACCCCTCCCCCCTCCCCTCCGCTCACAAAGATTTCAAGTTTCGGAAGAGCCTTCGGCCTACCGATAACTTCCGATAAAAGTTTTGAGAACCTACCGATACTGAAAAAAATAATCTGGCCACCCTGCCCGGGACATGCTGCCTACTGTCAAACGCTGCTGTTGGTATAGGCCTTGTCACTGGCCTGGTGGAGGTGCATTCAGCAGTGCGTCTGATTTTGATAACAATAACACAAGCAGTAAACACTGATGGAAAGTACAGCGTACATCGGTACACCCCCCGTATACTGCTAACTATAGATTGCGTTCATCTAAAAGTACGCGACCCATCAGAGAGCTCTCGAACTGCAAATCGCCATTTTGTTATTTTTATAATGTGTGAACCTTCAACCTGTAAACATCGTTGCAGTTGCAATATATAAGTTTAATTTACTCTACTAACTGTTGTGTTTTAGTTCTGCGGTTCATCAAAGACAAGATTTCCGATACGAAATACATTGGGCACTCATTTCACAACTCGAAATATACACTATAAACAAGATTTCCACGACGAACTTCACTTCTCGCTCATAGCTGACGTGTTTATGCAACGGAGAAAATATTTTTTCGCTAACCCGTATGATACAAAACCATCATCAAACAAGCACAACCAACACATACAAACAACAATATGATGCTATATGACACTTTTTAATATTCCCGAAACTGCACTCAAGTTCCACATTAGATTCAGATCGGACGCGTTGCGGTTAAGTGGCAGCTAAATCTATTGTCTAACTGTCAAATTTATTTCAACGCAATGCAAACGGATCTAATGTGGGTGGCCCTTAAAGATCCCTGAATTTCTCTGAAGTTCATTGATCTTTTTTGAAATTCATAAATTCAGATGAGGACTTCTCTGGAGTTCACTAAACTCCGTTGAAATTCATACAAACATCTTTGAGGTATTCCCTGAGTCTTTCTGAATGAGGTTTTATAAACTACAATGAAGTTTTTTGTGCTTCTCCAAACATATCTGAATTTATCTGAAACGTATCTAAAATGCACAAGACTTCCCAGGAGTTCTATAAATCTCTCTGACCTTCTAAAGAAACTCTGACATGATCTGGGAGTTAACGAACAGAAGAAACTGCGAAGCTTTTAGATCTGTTGAGAGGATAGGTTCAGCGAATTTCGAAGATCTTAAAAGCGCTTAACTGACCCACTGACTGCCTTAGGCTGCAAAAAGCGTGTCGATGTATGGCAGGTTCTCGGCAGTGTGATGATCAATCATTGTGAGTCAGTCACCATTCGAAAGGTATGGCGAAACCCAATTGAACCTGTGGTAGGCCATGTCATTGACATGACTAGTTCTCAGCAGTTAGGTTTCCAAATTTTAAGATTGAGCCACTTTTTGAAAGCTATGACTATCTACTTTTGAACGGAACAGACAAGAGACCCGTGGTTTGCCAGTCAGAACGGGAATACCCGTGAGAGGTGCCTCTGGGGATATACAGATTCTGCAGGAAAATGGTCAAGTAGACCTAGAGATGCGCGATTTTTTTTCTAAATTGCATACAATTATGAGAACAGAGGAAATATGCCTTCACTATATCTATTATGCTACAGGGTGGCCAAAAAAACGGTCCTCTGGATATCCGGAATCACAGGGAAAATGGTCAATTCCTGAACGTAGATCTAGAGATGCGTGATTTTTCCTAAATTGCATACAATTATGAGCATACAGGACATATGCAACAATCGTATCGATTCTGTTACCGGGTGGCCATAAAACGGTCCTCTGGATATCCGGAATCACCGGGAAAATTGTCTATTCCTGAAAGTACACTTACAGATTTGCGATTTTTTCTTAAATTGCATATAATCATGAGCATAGAAGCAATATGCAATAAGCATATCGTTTCTGCTACCGGGTTGCCAGAAAACGTTCTTTCGGATATTCAGATTCACCTGGAAATGTGGCCATAAGATCCGCTATTGGGGTGTTCAACACGGATGAGGCTGGCGAGCTGTATGTTGTTTGGAACGAGGGTGACGCCCACAGCGGTGGCCCACAGCGGCTCACGACGAGTAACTGTATCCGATCAGTAGCGGTGCCTTGATAGCTAGCTGCTTGCGGGGAGCCTTTCGTTGTGTACCGGAGAAAAATGTACAACGCCACGCGCTGAAACCACTGCGGCAGCTGCTGCTGATGACGACCGGATACCACCACCACGCGCGGATGGAATTCGATTTTGAAATCTGTGTTAGGGAAAGTGCTTTTTTCAGGTCACCGTTGCAACAGTTGTGTAATATTCAATTGTGACCTATTGAAAATTGATAAAATGTTCAATTTAGCAGATTCTTAGAATTTTTTTCAATCGATTGGCTTGTTTAGAATTAAAATCCATCTGCTATTGACAGAGTTATAAGTGGTCAAAACCTGACCACTTTTCGTAACGCAGTCAATTTTGGTTTTTTGAAATTGCCGAAAGATGTAATCCTACGTCAAAATGTAGTATTGAATTCAGAGCAAAGTGGAAATTTTTCACCACCCGATCGAAAGTAATTCTAGAATTACTTTTGGAAACTAGCTTATTTTCTTAAAATGTATAGTACCTTTAGTAAAGTAGAAAACTAATATCAATACATCAATTTGACCACCATGTGGCCATTAAATGGTTCTGCGGATATCCTGATTTTCAGGGCAAACCAAAAATGTTGAAAATGGTACCAGACATTCAGGATTTGTTTTCATCTAAATTGCATACTACAGTCATAGAAGGATCTTGCTGTGATATTGAACCGTGAACTCACTTTTCGACCGCATTGCGAAGATGTGTTAGCAAAAGCTAACATGCAGCTCGGATTCATATATAAGATTGCTGATGGATTACGCGATCTTCTTCGTCTGAAATCCCTCTACAGTGCCTAATACGCTCTATATTGGAATCTGCTGTGGTAGTGGCAGAAATTTGATTGACTGCTTCGAGGCTGTACAGGAAAAGTTTGCACGCTTAGCTCTTCGGTATTAACCTTGGCAAGGTGCATTGAATCTTCCTTCATATGAAGATCTCTGTATCTTAAGTAACAGTTTAGGGTTTATGAGGGTTCTGTTTATCATTAACATAAAGATTATTCTGCTGGATGTGGTCTGGATTCACCGAAAAAAATATAATTTTCAAGAAGCTATTCTAGCGATTCTAGTTAGTGTTTATTAAATGCATAGAATTCTGATTAAAGTGGAGCTATCCCAGAATCATATTGACAATCAATCACTCTAGACATAATCAAGACAGTCCAGAGCTGGTTCTTAAAATGTATTATGCCAAAACACTCTGGGCGGGAAAGTGTTAAGTGAAAATTAACACACCATCTTATTTCTCGGGAATAGGGAAAAAGTTATCGAGATGCTTGCAGTTTGCTTAACACATAGCTATCAATCATAGTAACAACCCGGTTACTGCTTGAACCGATTACCTATATTTATAATAGAAGATTTTTGAAATGTTGGATGGTTTTCTTAACCTGGAATTTGTCTGAAAAAAACTACTGTAAAATCAGGGAATATCAGGGAATTTATTTTTCTTCACTGATCTTTGGAGGCGAACCAGCCCAAGGCTGAAAGCCTCCTTAATAAAGCTAAATAATAATAATAATGTCTTCACTGAGTCGACCCCCTAATTAAGTTCATGTCGGAGAAGTCATTATGCGGATGGGAAGGCAGTGAGGGTAAGTATGTTGCCTTTGGGCGAAGACATCAAATCAAGAAGACTGTCAACTCTGTCAGAATCCAAGCGACAGGTGAAAGAACTGCATAGAAAAACGAGCAAATACACAACCCGTTATTTCTGAGGTTGTAATCTTTGCTATCAAATTTGTTCGAAGCATTTACTTTTGCGCGGCAGATGACGCGATTGTGTCGGTCTCATAGCGGTCGTATGAGAAAATGAAAGAGTTGCCAGTCTTCTTGATATGTTGTATTCGCTTTGGGGCAACATTCAATACGTGCAAGTGGATAATTTGTCACATGAAGTCCCAGATCGTCCCGGATCTAGCGTTAGTGCTGGGGAAGTACGAAAGCGTGCCGTCCGGGAGAAATTCCCTGCCTAGCTGGGCCTCGATGTACACACGGGTGTACGGGGTGTGTATATATATACGTGACAAACGTAATACCTCTCGCTCCATTTCCTCAATCGGAAGGGGAAGGATGCTGATCAGCATGTGGAACTTGCCTGTCTGGCCCAGCTTGCGGACTGAAATTTGGCTGGCCACATTCTCCACTTCCTAAGGAGAATTCTACGGCACCGCTCTTTCCAAGTGTGCATCATCCAGCTTCACAACTTCTTCTTCTGTTTTCGTGCTCTCACGAGGATGTCACCAACATAGTGTCATGTTGATAATAGCGTCGACTGCTTCTGGCTGATCCTTTTCGGAACTTACAGTTCTTATATGAAAGCCTTCTAAGTATATTGTGTAGCAAGCAAGGGTACCCAAGAAATTCGACCTAAGTTGTAGAATTTATCATAACGTTTATCCAAAAAGTGATCACTTTTTGTAATGCTGTGTAATCATCAAAAAAAAAAAAAACAATTAAGCGCGTGAAATTAAAATTTTGACTCCCTTAAAAAAACTAACAGAGACTCTAAGGGCGTGTCCATAAACTACTTGGACAGTAATTTGTTCACCCACTTTGTATGGATCGTTGCCGTAAGCACTAGCAAACGCACTTACCACCCCCTCTCCACCCCATAGGCTGTCTACGTATGTTAATAAACAGCTCCTAAATTTACTTTCGATTATGATTTGAGTTACTTTTCGTACTTACCACCAAATGTCATTCCTCCTCGCCACTAAATGTCATTTCGTCTTACATTTTCCTCCAGGACGATCCTCCTCCGGAATGGCCTCAATGATGGACGAGATGGCAAAAACGTTAGCCCGACGGCGGGCACAAGCCGAAAAGAAGGAGGTATGTGATCAACCTTCCCTCTCCTCAATCGCAGCCCAAATTAATCGAACCAAATCTCCCTATCTCCCCCATGCAGCCGGACTCCATCGATGACGGGCAATCGTCCACGTCGAACGGTCGCCAACGGGCGTGGGAAAAATCCAGCACCCTACCGCACAAGCTGGGCGGCAGCAGCAGCAGCCAGAACAACGCCAACAACAACACCAGTCTGAGTGGTTCGGAATCGCCGAAACCGTCGCGGAAGCGGTTCGGTAGTGCCAGCGAAGAAACGATACTCAAGGTGAGTTCCGCGGTGACTTGAAATTATAGAAAAAGGGCAAACCTCTATACCCTCTTACATTTTGCAGCAAATCAACGGCGACAGCTTTTCGCTGCCTAGCGCGGTGGAGCTGGAGAACTTCAAGGAGGAAATCCTCCGGGAGATGCGAAGCGAGATCGCGAAGGCGAAACAGGAAATCATCGAAGCTATCAAATCGGAATTCAACCGGAGGTAAAAGACGTGCCTCGAGAATTGGGAGAGCTGGAAGAAGGCTGGATAGTGAAATTATTGTCCGGTAATTCGGGGACGGACGACCGGGCGCGGGTGGGTATTTATTAGTAAGTGACGCGCGCTGATTTACGCGGGGTGCCGGTTTTCCCCAAACGTGTTTTTTTTTCTCTCGCGAAGGGGGAAGTTAGGTCGTTTTTAAGAAACAGAAGAAGCAACAATTGCTGCAGTAATTATATTCGTGTTCGGTGCGGTACGCTGTATAATGCGTACGCCAGGCAGGCAAAGAAGGGTTCTCTAACTTTTTTTTTGATTTGTAAGTTCTTATCTTAGAGACTCGTCGAGACCGAGGGTTCGTCGTTCATGTTTGTTTCGATTCGTGTATGGTGCGTGGCGAACGTGCTGAAGCAAAAGCGGTTATATATGATAAATATGTATATGCAACTAATTCAAACAATTCATAAATTATACAACTATACTAAAAACCTTAAAAAAACGGAAACAAATACCGAATACTTACCGATGGAATACTGAAATTGAAAGCACGTTTTTTTGAGCGAATAATAGCGAATGGCGATAAAAATAGAACACACGTCGAATAAGCACGGATTAGCTCACGGGAGTATTTTTCGCTGAAAATTTGGTTTATTAGTTGCAAGAGGTCCACGGGAATTAACGGGGTTTTCCGTTGATTTTGTTGTAATTTGTTTATTATTAATGATTAGGCAAGTAATGCAGATAGGAGTAACTCGATCTCCTGAAGATTTCTGAAGCTTCTCAGAATTCTTTAAAGTTTTATAATTTGCTGGGAAGTTTTCCAAACTTCTGGGAAATTTCCCAAACTTCTGAGAAATTTTCCAAACTTCCGAAAAGTTTTCCAAACTACCGGGAAGTCTTCCAGTTTTCTGGGAAGTTTTCCAAGTTTCTGGGAAGTTTTCCAAACTCGTGCGTTTTTTTCAAACTTACCGGGAAGTCTTCTAGTTTTCTGGGAAGTTTTCCAAACTTCTGGGAAGTTTTCCAAACTTCTGGGAAGTTTTCCAAACTTCTGGGAAGTTTTCCAAACTTTTGGGAAATTTTCCAAACTTTTGGAAAGTTTTCTAAACTTCCCGGTAGGTTTTCTAGTTTTCTGGGAAGTTTACAAAACTCGTGGCTTTTTTTCCAAACTTCTGGGAAGGTTTTCAAACTTCTGAGAAGTTTTCCAAATTTGTGGGAAGTTTTCCAAACTTCTGGCAAGTTTTCCAAACTTCTGGTAAGTTTTCCAAACTTCTGGCAAGTTTTGGGAAGTTTTCCAAAATTCTGGGAAGTTTTTCAAACTTCTGGGAAGTTTTTCAAACTTCTAGGAAGTTTTTCAAACTTCTGGGAAGTTTTTCAAACTTCTGGGAAGTTTTTCAAACTTCTGGGAAGTTTTTCAAACTTCTGGGAAGTTTTTCAAACTTCTGGGAAGTTTTTCAAACTTCTGGGAAGTTTTTCAAACTTCTGGGAAGTTTTTCAAACTTCTGGGAAAGTCAGAAAAGTCGCCCGGGGGTCAGAATCAATTTACCCTCACAAAGGAAACTAGTAGGACTTCCGGAGAAAGTCGGTAGATACTTCTGGAGAAAGTTGGAAGGTACTTCCGGGAAGGTTTGAAGAAACTTTCGGGGAACATTGGAAAACATTCCGGAGAAAGATGGAAGACTCTTCCAAGGCAAGTTGGAAGAAACTTCGATGAGGACTCGAAAAAGTCTTCTGGGCTAAGACAGATGCATGTTCCGAGGAGAATAGTTTGCAGGTTACTTCCATAGGGAGAAGCCAGACGAAACTTCCGGGGGACATTTGAAGTAATTTCGGAAGGAAGGAGTCCACAAGTAGTCTCAAGGATTTATGGGGAAGTTGGAAGAAAGTTGCAAGAGAAGTCAGAAAAGTTGTCCGGCTGAAGTCAGAATCAATTTACGCCTACAGGGGAAACCAGTAGGACTTCTGAAAGAAGTCGAAAGATAATTCTAGAGGAAGTCGGAAGATACTTCCGGGAAGGTTTGAAGAAACTTTCGGAGAACATTGGAAAAAATTCCGGAGATATATGGAAGAATCTAGGCAAGTTGAAAGAAACTTCGCTGAGGACTCGAAAAAGTCTTCCGGGCAAAGTAATGAAAATTCCAAGGAAAATTGGTCGGAAGCCACTTCCTTTGGAAGAAGTCACACAAAACATCCTGGGAACATTTGAAGTAATTTCAGAAGAAAGGAAAAAAAACGAAGGTGAAGTCGGAAGGTACTTCTGGGAGAAATCATCTGGAAAAGCCGGAGAAATCTACCGGGTGAAGATGACATACATTTCCGGAGGAAGTCCGAAGAAACTTCTTGTAACAGTTGGCATGAATGTCCGGTGGAAGTCGGAAGATGCGTCCACAAGAAGTCTCAACGAATTATGGGGAAGTCGAAAGAACGTTTCAGGAAAAGTCAGAAAAGTCGTCCGGGCAAAGTCAGAATCAAATTACATTTACAGAGGAAACCAGTAGGGCTTCTGGAAGATGTCCGGCGAGCATTGGAAATAAATTCCGAAGAAAGTTGAAAACTTTTTGGAGATGATCTAATTTGAATGAGCCATCAGCTATTTTCCCGAATCCCGGTACTGAGCACTTCAGTTGAGTTGAGTTCAGAGATCTTCGATAATATGTTCTGAATATTTCAAAAAGTCGCCTGAAGCAGGTTTTGAAAACAAGTTTAGTGGAATTCAAGAAGGATTCCAGACAATTCTAACGGTTTCAATCGGTGATTTGACCCAAAAGTAAAGTTCAGAGGACATTCAAAGGCTAGTTCAGAGGTCTTTAAACTTTAGTACTGAGAGTTAATGTTACAAATAGCAAGTGCAAAGCAATTCAAAGGCATGCTCTGAGCGCGTCAAGGGAAGTTCCGTGGTCCTTACATTCAAGTTCATATGTGCTGTTGTGGCACATCAAAAATATCAAGAAATTCCAAAAAATTCTATTCTACCATAAATGCAGTTTCAAAAGCAAGTTCTTGGAATGTATAAGGCTAATCCTGATACCTTGTGGATTGCACGAGAGACGACTAGTAAGTCCAGATGACTTTTAGAGCAATTATAGTGCAAAAGGACTTCGAAGACCTTCATGAGAAAATCAAGAAAGCACTATTTTACCGAGAACTTCTAGCTCAAGTTTCAACGTCTGCAGGAAGAGTAGAAAAAAGGCTCTTAGCATTTCAAGGCGGCATTTGGAGGGTTTGAACAAACTCTAGAGAACTTCAAAGGGCTATAAGGGCAATCTCAGATATCTTCATGGGTCAGTTCAGAACCCATCACTCTTAGAAAGACTTCTAAAGAACAAATGCAGATTTTTGTATATTTTTCATTAATTTAGAACAAGAATTCAATTTCAAAATCTAAGGACGTTATGCAACTACTAGCTTGTTATCAGCAATAAATACTCCTATGTTAAGTTAAAATGGTATTATCATTATGCCTAAGTTTGCTAAACCATTGCAAAAAAAAACAACAACAATATCAACTAGCCGAAGAATGAGACTTCAATTAAATAGAAAGTAGAACTAAAGAGGAGTGAAAAGAAGAAGAAGAAGATAAACCAAGCGACTTTTTTTACTATAAACGTTTAAAAGAAGATTTTTCCGACACGAAATGAGAAGTGAACGAAGTGAAATGTTAGTTAAACAGCCAGTTACAATAACCTCGTCGTAGCATAATAACCCGCGTTTTCACTCTCGAAAACAAGTAAGTTAAAAGTCTAAAACAAATAAATCATGGAAACAAAAGTCATTCTCGTATCCATTAAACTGACACATACACAAACACACTGCAAGAAAACAAAGCATTCACATTAAACAATGTAAACAAACAAAAAGTATCTAGTTGTACGACGTAAACTCTACCGATTAGAAAAAAAAACAGAAGGATAAAAATACTAAACAAATAAATCGTTGACGGAAAACGTTTACAAAACATTCAAATTCGCGCACACTCGCGGAAATGCTCGTGTTAAGTCTGATCGATGTTCTCAAAAAAAAAAAAAAACTACCGCAATTATTTGTTTTGCTCTATGTACATACAATTTGAACGAACTGAACTACAAAAAAAAGTAGAACAACAAAATGTGCTTGAGATAAATATAGGAAAAGAGCGCATTTCCCGCAACACAGCCATTTATACACTGGGGGAAAAACTCCCCCCGAAAAAAAAACACACACACACTGTTGTAAATTATGAACTAAGCCATGGATGCATTCGCGGAAGTCACGTTTGAACTAAGTCAAAAACAGAAAACAATAACCGGAAATCAATTCACGAGTCATATCCGATTTGGAACGAAGCACACCAGTGGATGAATCGAAGGAAAACCGGTAGCAACTAAGGAAAGGGACAGATTGTTGGGCTAGTTTTTTTTTTCGCGATTAAAAGGTCCTCGTTTCAGTTTGTTCTCTTCGGAATCGAATTGTTAAAGCATTGAACGTGGGCGGTTCTTAACAGGAAAAGTCTTTCACAAATGGGATGTCGTTCTCGGAGTGTTTGCAGACTGCAGTTAAATGTGTTCACTGGAGTGGAACTGGTGTGTCTGGAAATTACGTTAAAGTAATGTTCTTTAAGTAGTGAGTAGATATTAAGGTTTATCAAAAATACTGATACAGGTTCTCTCTCGAGGCATCTCTTTGGCTGCGGAGCGGTGCACGCCAAGATTATAGGTAGCCTATTTATGAAAAATCATGAAGATAGAGCAGTCGAAAGGCATGTTTTGATGTAAAACTGAAATTGTTCGCTAGTTCAGGTTTTCACGAGGCTATCGCTTTAACTTCGGAACGGCTAATGTGGTCAATGGTCCATGCCAAGTTGATAAATAGCCTATTCACATTTTGGTGTAAAACTGCAATTGTCTAATGCTACAGGTTCTACAAGGAGCATTCCTGTGGCCGCGGAACATGCCAAGATTATAAATAGCCTATTCATGAAAAACCACGGAACAAACAATGGGGTCAATGATCCACGCCAAGATCTACGAAGTATGATCTAATAAGTTCCTTGAATTTCTACAATGACTCTTGACCATCTATAAAGTCCCTGAAGTTTTACGAAGTACAATGAAGTTCAAAAATTCCAACGAGGCTCCTCGAACTTCTTCAAATGGTAACGTAGTTTTCTAAACTACTATGAAGTTCGCTGCACTTCTACGATGTTCCCGGAACTTTAAAAAATTTCACTGATTTTCTGCGAACTTCCCTGAAGCTCTACTTTCTTCAACTTCTATAGAACTCTCTCAACTATTCCAAGTTCATTACACTTTAACGAAGGGCCCTTAAGTTAAATAATGAACCCGGAACTCTTATGAAGTTTCCTAAAATTAAACAAAGTTCCTACATCAACGAAGTTCTCACGAATGTTTATAAAGCACTCTGAATATCTACGAACTTCCTAGAATTTCTACTATATTCCCTGAAAATTTATGAAGTCCCTGAAGGTTAACGAAATTCTATGATGTTCAATAAATCCCTGAACTTCAACGAAGTTTCCCAAAGTTCTTCAAATCGTAACGTAATTCGGTAAACTACTATGAAGTTCGCTGCAATTCTACGATGTTCCCGGAACTTAAAAAAAATTCATTGATGTTCTGCGAAGTTCTACAAAGTTTCTTAAACGTCTATAGAACTCTCTCAACTATTCCAAGCTCATTACACTTGAACGGAGGGCCCTTAAGTTAAATAATGAACCCAAAACTTTTATGAAATTTCCTAAAATCAAACAAAGTTCCCTTAATTTCAATGAAGTTCCCAAACTTGTACAAAGTTCCTACATCTACGAAGTTCTCACGAATGTTTATAAAGCACTCTGAATTTCTACGATCTTCCTTGAATTTCTACTATGACCCCTGATCATCTATGAAGTCCCTGAAGTTTTACGAAGTACAATGAAGTTCAAAAAATGCCTGACCTTCAACGAAGTTCCTCAAAGTTCTTCAAATTGTAACGTAATTCGGTAAACTACTATGAAGTTCGCTGGAATTCTACGATGTTCCCGGAACTTTAAAATTTTTCATTGATGTTCTGCGAAGTCCCCTGAAGTTCGACAAATACCTGACCTTTAACGAAGTACCCCGAATTTCTTCAAAATTCGCTAAATTTGGATGAAGTTCTATATTTATATAAAGTTCACTGAACTTCTACGAAGTTCGTTAAGCTTTAACATAATCCACCGAGTGTTTGCAAAGGTAGTTGAACTCCTATAAAATTGTCTGCACTTCCAGAAAGTTTCCAGAACTTCTACGAAGTTCCTCGAATTTCTATTATATTTCTTGAATTTCTACGATGTCCCCTGAACATCTATGAAGTCCCTGACGTTTAACGAAATTCTGTGAAGTTCAAAAATCCCTGAACTTCAACGAAGTTCCCCGAATTTCTACAAAATTTGCTAAATTTGGATGAAGTTCTGTAAAAATTATCTGCACTTCTACGAAGATCAATGAAGTTCTGCAAAGTTCGTTGAGCTTTTACAAAATTCGCTGAGCTTTTGCAAAGGTAGCTGAACTCCAATAAAATTAGCTGCACTTCTAGAAATATTCCAGAACTTAAACATCCATGAAGCCCCGGTAGTTTAAGGAAATTCTATGAAGCTCAATAAATCCCTGAACTTCAACGAAGTACTCCGATTTTCCACAAAATTCGCTAAATTTGGATGAAGTTCTATAAAATTATCTGCACTTCTACGAAGTTCACTGAAGTTCATTGAGGTTTTACAAAGATTGCTGAGCTTTTACAAAGGTAGCTGAACTCCTATAAAACTTTCTGCACTTCTAGAAAATTTCCAGAACTTCTACGAAGTTTTTCGAGTTTCCATTATATTTCCTGAATTTCTACGATGTCCCCTGATCATTTATGAAGTCCCTGAAGTTTAACGAAATTCTGTTTCAAAAATCCCTGAACTTCAACAAAGGTCCTCGAATTTCTACAAAACTCGCTAAATTTGGATGAAGTTTTAAATAATTTGCTGCATTTCTATGAAGTTCACTGAACTTCTACGAGGCTCGTTGAGCTTCTACAAAGGTAGCTGAACTCCTATAAAATTTTCTGTGCTTCTAAAATGTTTCCAGAACTTGAACATCTATGAAGTCTCTGAAGTTTAAAAAAATTCTATGAAGTTCAATAAATCCCTGAATCTTAACGAAGTTCACCAATTTTCCACAAAATTTGCTAAATTTGGATGAAGTTCTATTTTAAGCACTTCTACGAAGTTAACTCAAGTTCGTTGAGCTTTTACAAAGTTCGTTGAGCTTTTACAAAGGTAGCTGAACTCCTATAAAAGTTTCTGCACTTCTAGAAAGTTTTCAGAACTTCTACGAAGTTGCTCGAATTTCCACTATATTTCCTGAATTTCTACGATGTCCCCTAAACATCTATGAAGTCCCTGAGCTCAACGAAATTTTGTTAAGTTCAAAAAATTGCTGAACTTCAACGAAGTTCCCAGAATTTCTTCAAAATTCGCTAAATTTGGATGAAGTTGTACAAAATTCTCTGAACTTCTACGAAGGTAACTGAAGTCCTCGGAAGTTCGTTGAGCTTTTACAAAGTTCGTTGAGCTTTTACAAAGGTAGCTGAACTACTATAAAATTTGTTGCAGTTCTAGAAAGTTTCCAGAACTTCTACGAACTTGCTCGTATTTCCACTATATTTCCTGAATTTCTACGATGTCCCCTAAACATCTATGAAGTCCCTGAAGTTCAACAAAATTTGGTTAAGTTCAAAAATTGCTGAACTTGAACGAAGTTCCCAGAATTTCTTCAAAATTCGCTAAATTTGGATGAAGTTGTACAAAATTCTCTGAACTTCTACGAAGTTCGTTGAGCTTTTACAAAGTTCACTGAACTTCTACGAAGCTCGTTGAGCTTATACAAAGTTCGTTGAGCTTTTACAAAGATAGCTGAACTCATATAAAATTTTCTGCACTTCTAAAAAGTTTCCAGAACTTGAACATCTATGAAGTCCTTGAAGTTTAAAAAAATTCTATGAACTTCAATAAATCCCTGAATCTTAACGAAGTTCACCGATTTTCCACAAAATTTGCTAAATTTTGATGAAGTTCTATTTTGAGCACTTCTACGAAGTTAATTCAAGTTCTTTGAGCTTTTACAAAGGTAGCTGAACTCCTATAAAATTTTCTGCACTTCTAGAAAGTTTCCAGAACTTCTACGAAGTTGCTCGAATTTCCACTATATTTCCTGAATTTCTACGATGTCCCCTAAACATCTATGAAGTCCCTGAAGTTTAACGAAATTTTGTTAAGTTCAAAAAATTGCGCAACTTAAACAAAGCTCCCAGAATTTCTACAAAATTTGCTAAATTTTGATGAAGTTGTACAAAATTCTCTGAACTTCTACGAAGTTCACTGAAGTCCTCCGAAGTTCGTTGAGCTTTTACAAAGTTCGTTGAGCTTTTACAAAGTTCGTTGAGCTTTTACAAAGGTGGCTGAACTCCTATATAATTTTCTGCACTTCTACAGAGTTTTCAGAACTTCTACGAAGTTGCTCGAATTTCCATTATATTTCCTGAATCTCTACGATGTCTTCTATACATCTATGAAGTCCTTGAAGTTTAACGAAATTTTGTTAAGTTCAAAAAATTACTGAACTTCAACGAAGTTCCCAGAATTTCTTCAAAATTCGCTAAATTTGGATGAAGTTGTACAAAATTCTCTGAACTTCTACGAAGTTCGTTGAGCTTTTACAGAACTCGCTGAGTTTTTG